GAGTTCTCCAGTGAGCCAACCATTCTGGAGCTTGCTTGGTCTTGTGCATGTGCTCGGTAGGTGCCGAGGATCGAATTGCTCTGAGCGGACACGGCTTCAGGGTGCAAAACAAGCTCTGGTGCCTTCTTGTCCCAACAGGTTTGATCAAACAGTTCATTCCAACATGGAAGCTCGCTTGCGAACGGTGGAAAGGCTGTAATACATGCAACAATGTGACCATGCTTGCGAACAATGGGAACTGAAACACCCAACTTGGACATGTGCAAAACGTTTTGTTGTAAGTCAATCACGCATCCAAGCCCTTCCAAAAGAACACGACTTGCGAGAAATGGAATCGGCAACGGAAGGATGCTCACACCAAAAAGAACTCCCTGGGTCTCCTGGCCACGAAAGCTGGCCGGCATGTAGCAGCGCTCTGCGGCTGTCTGCGCTCCACCTGCACCAAATTGAAATCTGTCTTGACAATGTTGATGCAGACTGGACAACCCATGGTTCTGTAACAACTTGGTGTGTGTTGCAAACCATCTCTCACCAGCGCACGAACGCTGACATGCAGTATCCAAAACCATGTAGCCAGCAAGGTCTATGGTTTCTGTGGTGTAAACTTTGCATGATTGTTCTGCGAGGACATAGCTGGTGGGGAAGTTGAAATACATGTCTTGACCCTGGTGCTCATCATCGTGTGCATCTTCATCACCATACGTAACCACAAATGCTTTCCTGGGTTGACCTGTCGAAGGTGCACTTGATGAGGAGGCTGGAGTACCGAAACGTTTGGACTGCTCCTTCCCTTTGCCCTTGCTTTTTTCCGGCACTCTTGCCAGTGGATGATGCACTGCATGCTGCGTCACCCGCCCAGTGCCCCATGGCACCACAGGCGGAGCATGCACTAGTCCGCTTCCGCTCCTCGATGGATCGACGGCCAGAGAATTTCCTGCCCAAAACTGTCGACTGCAGCTTCTTGGACGTCACACTGAGGACTGTTGCAAGGTTCTCCAATGACTCGTCGAGGCCGTCTGGCTCACCATCTTCCGGTTCTTGTTGATCGCCCTCTTCATCAGCCTGATCTTCGAGTGGCTCGAAGAATTCCTCCTGGGCTTCCTCCTCCGGGATGTCGTGCAGGGTGTCTGAACAAGGCCCATCGGCTGGGTCCACCTGCTCAGCTTGGAACACGCGACGTGGTCCTCCCTTGCCCTTGCTCCTGTTGTATGCTGATGCTGAGGACGGAACCGTCGTTGAGGATGATGAACTGACTGCCGACTTGCCGCTGCCTTTGGAGTAGTGGCTGTGGGAACTGTTGTTCTGTCTCCAACCACCTGACTGAAACACTGCTGGCGTGGGCCGAAAATCCGGAAACTGCAACTGCAAACTTTCAACAATGCTGTCGAAGTCCAGATTGCATTGAGCGCCAATCAACACAAGCCTCTGCAATGATGGGTCCAACTTACAGCGCTCTAAGATGCGGTTTCCCCTAGACTCCGCATCGTACATTGCAGCTGAACTAATACCAACACTTTGCAGGTCCCTTTCAACGCGCTTGTACCTGTTGATGAATTGGCGGACTGTCTCATGCCCTTGCCGTGCAATGTTCTCATAGTTTGACAGCAGCATTCTCTTCTGATACAGCAGTTTCTGCTCCAACGGGCCCTTGAGGCAGGAAAGGATGTAAGCCACGCCATCCTTTGCATTGATCTTTTCAAGATCCATGTGTTCGGCTTCAGCTTCGGGTTCGCCACTGAGGCTAGAGAAAAGCATCAAACCTGCTTCAGCTCCAGTCAAATAGTGTTGCACTTGCATCTGCCAAACCTGAACTCTTCGTTCATACTTTGCGAATGCTCTGAGGTCCGTCGAGGCGTACTGCCATTTAGGAGGCTGGGGAGGGGAACCTCCTCGCCATTTGAGCCCTGGTGCCGGGCCCTTTCTGCTGTTCCATGACGATGTGCTATCGCCACGTCTGTCATCCAACAATTGCTTCAACACCTGTAGCAGCTCTGATTGCTCTGTACCTGATTGCGTCTTTGACGGAACAGGAAGGTGAGGAACTGTTGGTGATCTTGATGCACGCACATGCTCTGCATTGTCAACTGTCTGTGAATCAACATTGGGGTTGGGAGTCTGCGCAGTGGTCTTTCCCTTCTTGCGACGTCTCCTCGATGAGGTCGATGAAGCTGCCAATGAACCGCTCTCCATAGGCCAATCGTACCGACTCGAGGGGTCAACAGAAGGATCAGTGGTGTGCCTCTCGCTCTCGAACGTCTCCTGTGTCGGTTCCTTGGAAGGGTCACCGAACTGCCTCTGGGAGACATGAGGTTGAGGGCCATTCACCTGCTGATCTTCGCCTCCGGCCTTAGGGATGAAAGTCCAAGTACCTTCAACTGTCTGTCGTTGAGCGGGGTGCAATGTATGATAGAACACGTCATGACCGCACGACAAGCACTTGTATGTACCAAGCTCTGTATCATCGACCTGCCAAGAGGCGGAATCACACCGCAAACACCTCCAAGAAACCGGCTCGCTGCTCGAAGATGAAGGGGCGTGTACTGCACCTGGATCAACATCTGCCATGGAAGCCTGTAGTCGTTCGAAGGCGTCCAACTCTTCAGGGCCCCATTCAAAAGCCGAAGAGGTGTCGTCGCCCGACGACAGATCAAAGCGTTCCACCATGGGCAGGCTCCGGTGCCAACACAACGGAACGTGTGCTAAAACGAACCGCAGGGCGAACGCTCGAAACGCATGTTTCGCTCGCAACGAAAAACGTCAGGCTCTGTGCGCACCTCGAGAGTGGTGGCCACGGCATTCGGCTCAAGTGCTGTCATGAAACTGCAGGCTAAAATTCACAGTAGGACCAAACCACCATCCCAAAGAGCTGCAACCGTCAAATGCATAGTACCCAATGTGGGTCACCGAGTCTGGGATTGTCCAGTTCACCAAAGACTTGCAATCCTCAAAGGCACAGACTCCGGGATGGTCAAATTCACCAAAGACCTGAAAGGTACAAGCCGCAATGTGGGTCACTGAGGGTGGAAGGGCCACATCTATCAAAGAGCCGCAACCCGCAAAGGCATAGTACCCAATGTGGGTCACCGACTCCAGTGCAGGATGGTCACACTTGCCAAAGAGCTGCAAGTCACAAAGGCACAGTCCCCAATGTGTGTTACTGACTGTGGGATGGTCAAGTTTGCCAGAGATCTGCAATTCTCAAAGGCATGATTCCCAATGTGTGTCACTGAGTTTGGGATTGTCAAGTTTACCAAAGAGTTGCGATTACGAAAGGTAGAAGCACCAATGTGAGTCACTGAGTTAGAGATTGTCAGGCTCGCCAAAGAGATGCAATCCTCAAATTCATGGTCTCCAATGTGCGTCACTGAGTTCGGAATGGTCAAGCTTGTCAAGGATCGGCATCGCTTGTCAATTCATAATCCCCAATGTGGGTCACTGAGTCTGGGATGGTCAACTTGGCTAAAATGCTGACTGGTGCTTCCCCAATAGAGGTTCTATTGGATCCATTCCCTCATTCCTTGCCAAGCACCAGTCAAAATGTGCTAACCCGCGGAAAAGCTGTGAGTTTTGTCAGGGATTTCCACCGCTTTGGACCACAGCTCCGAGTCAACAACAGCACCAAGACTTGCGACAACATATTCCCTAGGGCTCCTGGCCCACCTCCTGAGAAGGTGGTCGGGGTGGGTGCCAGAGGGGTCTAACTAGTTCCTGAGGATGTGGGCCAGGCCCTAGGGATTTCTTGGAGCATATCACCAAAGAATCAGCTTGAAGACCACACACAAGTAAGCAAATCGGCCATGACTCGGCGTCTGTCGATGTCCGACCGCTGGCGAGCCACACGATCAGCCGGCACCGTCGCCGACGATCGGCTCGTGCTCGGCTGTTGCTCTTTGATCTGCTGAAGGCTCCCTGCCTGTGCAGGCCGTAGTGCTGCGAGTGAGCTCATCCCAGCTCGGCTGTCCCTCCTTGATCTGCTTGAGCGCCAGGCCTGTCACCTCCGTGACTTCAAGAAACATGCTTTCACCACTTGGCAGCGCGGACATTCGCATGGCCATGGCTCAAACACCTGGCCACATTTGGGCTGATGACTGATGGTTGTGTTGATTTCTGATTGCGGCATGCTAGCTGGTCTTCCAAAGCATTCTGAACTTGGTGGTGAACAAGGGTTTTGCTCCCTTGCTGGTTCAAAGCGTGGTGTAACATCAAGGAGTCAAGCAGTCGGGCACATTGTCCATTGATGGAGGTGTTGTGAAATAAGGCTCTGCATCTAGACCTGATGATTTCTGATTTTAATCAAAACCTGTTCGTTTCGTTTTCACATGTCCTTGCAATGGTTACCGCTGAGTTTCCAGTCAGTCAGAGACCAAACGCTCCACGCTTGTTGGAAGGTTTTGGATTGCTTTCCTTTTGCTAAGAAGCTTCAAAGACCAATATATTATATAACCCATATGTAAAAAGCCTTATTGTTACGACCGTAGGGATGGCCTCCATAGCGATGGCTTCCACTGTAAGGACATCGCTTCGGAGCAATTTCGGAGCGATTTCGCGGGCGCCCATGCCTCCCCCACATAGGGAACTTGGAGAGACTACGGAGCCAACTTTACGGGTGAAGTTTGTTGGAAGGCTTCAAAAAAAAGCACCAGCATAGATTAGAGTCATCCTGGACAAGCATGGAATCAATAGAACATGTGGACATCAAAAAAAACAATACAAAGGAAACTTGTCATGCTCTTCGATCATTACATGACCATTATAGGTTGCTGTTTGTTCTTCCCTCCGTGCTCTTGACTTTGCAAGGTCTGCTCCAGGATACGCATCACTCATCAAGTTCGACTTTTTTGGTAGATCTTCTCTCTCTCTCTCTCCATCGCCTTCTCGAAGAGTTCAGCCGTTCGCTAGTTCGGCGAGTGGAGAGAGAAAGCGGTCGACTTCACGTCCAAAGCGAGGGAACCCCCGAGCGCACACGCGCCGCCCGTTCCAACGTTCAGACGTCGGGTGTCCTTTCGCGGGAAGTAGGACGTCCCAAAGGCCATGGCCCTCGGGTGCGATGGACAGGTGGCGAGTATGGCACGGTGAATGGAGGAGTATGGCGAACACGGGCATAGTCAAAAGACTCGCCTGCCCTCATATGACAGGCCTCGAGATTTGCATCATGACCCATGATTGGGAGGTCACTCTTGCAGTCCCATCCAGTGTCTATAGGATAGGACCCCTCAAGTGATCCACTCCAAAAGACGTTACACCTTCAAAGGAGCATGTGGAAGCATGGATCATCATGGATCCAATGTTTCAGACTATTGACAATACTGGAACACAGTTCGGCTGCTTCTGGGGTCCCTCGGGACAATTCTTCTTGCACTGCTTTTCGCAGTAGTCGACCTATTGAATGGCCAGTTGCACTTTCACGCTGGTTCCCCCAGGTCGATCTATGGTCACATTGAAGGGTTCCAGTTCTCCAAACTCTCAGGAGTTGGATTTTGGATCAGTTTGGATTTCTGCCGATCGCCGATCCTCAGGGTCCAAAGGATTGCAACCGATCCGGCCCGGCCGGCCCCAAAGATGGGGGGATTGCTTCGACCCAAAAACCCTCTCCTCCCCGGCATCACGGACCGGAAGAAGGAGGCAACAGACCGAAATACTCCACGGAACTGGAAGAGTTACCAAAACCAATTGGACATTCTCAAACAAGTACATCATTGGATGGATGAGGTGCGTTACAGGACCTACCAAAATCCAGTCGTACCTTCTCAGGTACGGTGAGGAAGGCTACACTGTATACCTTTGGAGGGTCCAGGGTCGGCTCGAAACCCCGGATCCTTCGGGATTCAACGAAGGGCTGGAGCGTCGTACCTCCTCAGGTATGGACCCGAACGCACCCCAGTCCAGTCCCATTCTCGAAGCTACGACTGGAGCCCTATAGGGCCTATAGGGACAAGGTATGGTCCGATGTGTTCGTTAGAAAGTGACTCCCCAGTCCCAAATGAGCTGGCACCTTTGGGGTCCGGTCCCCAAAGTCCGCTAATTAGGTTCCTAGACCTAGTCCTGGACAGCAGCTGGGCCACCCCGTGGTGATGGACGTTTTGCGGATGACTTGGCCATGGTCCGCGTCGTACTCGTCTTTCTCAATGGTGATCCCCTCGTTGCCGGAGACTTTGCGCAGCGCTTCGTGGATGGTCTGCGTCACAGCTGTCAGTTCCGATGGCGTGGTTGTGATGCAGAACCTGGCTGATCTGATGTGGTTGGAACGACCGCTACGGTAGACCCTCCTATCGACCCTTACGCCTTACAAAGGGAGCACATACAGGGACACCCATTTCAGCATTGCTCACGGAAAGCGGAAATGTTAAGACATAGATCGATGCAAACACAACTCTGGGCCTGTCCATTGAAATCCACTAAGTGTTTGTAGGGTACAGGCAGGCTAATGGAAATACCAGATGGCAAGTATAGAAAGGATCGTGTTTTTCCAGGAGCCCAGGACTTCAAAATCAGGACTGAACCTCCATGAGGACTGAACCTCCATGAGTCCATGAGCCATATCGATTCTGCACTGACCTAGACCTCGATCTTCCAGGTCTCCATTAGACTGCCTTACACTTGTTGTGGATGCTTCTCTTTAAGATCGATCCGGGCACGTGGTCCAGAAAGCCCAGCACAAATCCGCAAACTAGAACCCTTTATGAAACAGTTGTTTGACCCAAAACGAGACATCAGTCCTCCAAACGGATTGTGCTTTAGCATGCTTTAGCTGCATTGGGGTGCAATCATGTTGACTGACTACTGTGGTCCGCACGAAGTTCCGCCAACATCTTTTTAAGTTCAAGCTAGGAGGAAAAGAATGAGACAAAACTTCAAGTCACACCTATGTCCGTCTAAAAGGGCGCCATAACACTCCAAAAGGCGTTGAACATGTTGAACCATCTTTAATCTTTCCATCTACTCCTACAAAATGGTCACAATCATCCAAACGCAACCACCCTTTCTTCGAGACACTTTCCAGGAATATTTTGATCCTTCACTGCTCCAAAAGCCAACGCACCCGAAGTGCTTGGCTGCTTCAGTTTTTTGAAGACCAAACATGGCCAATCCTCGGAGTGCTGGACGTGAGCTTTTGGGGTGACTCAGGGATCCTTGTGACTCGCGCGCGAAACTCTCCGTTTGGTGCCCCCAGGTTCGCGGAAGAAGGTGTGCGGCTGACTTGGTAATGAGTCAACTGAGAGTTCAAGAGAGACATATGGACATGTTAGCTAACTGTTAGCTCTGGGTCAAAGCCCAGAGAACAAACCACTTGACCTATGAAGGTCGTTCGCGGCAAAATGGCGGACCAGGGCTGCCAGGGCTGACCTGTCCCCATGTTAGCTGTGCTGTCCCTGCCTCCCTCATTGCATGAGTGATGGGTCATGGACTTTGACAACGTCTCCGGCACACCCAAGATCCCAGTCATTGCCACGCAGCAGTTGCACAGCCATATAGGCCCTATCAGTAATTCAGGGATTGGTTCGAGCCGGCCGAGCCGGTGGCGGTAGAACTCGTGGGGATGCAAGCTCCAGCTCAAGAACATTCCAAATAACTCTTTCTGGACATGTGCAATTATACCAGCACCCGACTTCACAGGTGCTTCCTGGTGACAACAGGTGCCCAGAAACAAATAGCTTCTTGGAGGATCCTGGTATAGATGGCGTACTTAGGTAAGTGCTAGAAATGCTTGACATGTCGATCCCCGTGTGAAGCAACAAAACTGATCATGCCTGCCCCTACGGAAATTTGAAGTGATTCGAGGGCTTCCAAGTGATTCGATCCCAAATTCCGCTGACTTTCGGTGGAATATGTACACCTCTGAAATAGCATACCCAGGCATACCCAGGCTTATCGTCGTTGTCTTTGTTGGGATGTGCTTTCGCACCTGAAGAGTCTCGCTTCAGAACGTCTGGAACCATTGGAGCCTACACCTTGAGAGCTGCTTGTGGCGACCACGATGCTGCTGCTATCTGATCATTTTTCAGCTCAGAGTCCACTTTGATTCCACCAAAGTTGGGGCCACAAACTAAATGCCAACCCAACTTGTAGACCTCCTGCCCAGGAAGTCTCGGAAAAACGAGAAAGAAACACCGGAGAAAAGAAGGATTCAGAAGGAATGCGCACCCTTTACGTCTCTGCAAAATCTGAATCTGATTGAGTCACTCTGGGTCTGATCGGAAGAAGCTGTGATGCAACACATCCAGGACCGTGGGACTGATGAAACACCTCCGGGTGGACACCAGGAAACACCGGGCTTCAGATTCAGACCCATGGCATTTGGGGTTTCACATCAACCCTATCCCTATCTGGAACCCTCCCAAAGTACACTGGAACATGGGGCAGCATGACTTGGCAGAATGACTTTGCGCCACCTACTCTCAATCCATGACATCTTCTTACTTCCTCCCAGTGGCCCAGCCAAAACCCCCTTGGAGCTGATGAGGCGGGCCGGTCGACGGAATGCGGGCGATCGACATGGAATTCACATCAGAGCCATGCTAGCTGTCGCCATGCCAGGAGCCCCTAGTAGCGTCCTTGCTCCTAGTAGTGAGGCCAGGAGCCCCTAGTAGCGTCCATGCTAGCTGTCGCCATGCCAGCTTTCTCCATCTTTCTACAAGACGTTTGTCTTGTTCCAGTCCAGCCTGAGTTGTCCGAGCGGGACAGTTCCATGTTCCGCTCATCAACACTCAAACTAGAGCGGACCTCCAAACGGTCCGCGCTCTTCCCGAAGGTCGCGTCGCCAACCAGATCAAACCCCCAAGACCTTCTTCCCCCACTGGGGGTGAAGTCACTTGACTAATCCTGAGGACCCGTGCACCTCATGCGATCTCATCATCATCATAGAGATGATGGAACATAAGAACATATAAGCTGAAAGTGATTGATATGTTGTTGATCCATTTGGCGCTGTGAAATCTCTTCTGCCTCGGGGGTTGGACTGATCAAGCTTCAAAAACAGTAGATGAAGCCGCTTGTCTTCTCCACCTGCCCGGTCCCTCTCACCCGGCTCAAGCTGCCGGGCCTCCAGAAGGGGCAAAACCACCTGGCCTTTGGGGAAATATGGCTTCGCCAAGCCTGGGACCGTCCGTTCACGGACGGAGGACGAAGCGATCGGAGGGAAACCCGGAAACCGGTCCTCCGATCGCGGTCGCATCAGAGAATTCGAGATCGGATGATCCGCCAGCAACGGCGACGGCGAACAGGGTGTGATGTCTTCGCGACCAACTTAGTCATTCTCAGGATTCTCGGCATCCAGCGCATGGTCACTTCGCTCTGAACTCACGAAAGCTGTAGCTAGTGGCACAGCTTGTGGTCACGTGTGATCTGGAAAGGAGCATTTCAACATCTCGCACAAGCCTCCACTCATCAGGGGCTATGCTCCATCATCTTCAAAAGCCTTCGCTGCCATGGGCCCGGTCGGTTCCGGTGCTTTTTCCGATGTCTAAGGCTTCCACTGAAGGCTTGCATCCCGCTGGTGATCGAAGTCTCTCTCCAAACCTCGGCGCCCAACAACTCCGACCGGCGACCGATCGGCGCCCGATGATGATGTCTGGGTGCCATTGGGTGCCCAATTCCATCGATCGATCGATTTCGGACACTCACAATCGATCGTCCAGCGTACAGGACACCGCGGCTGGAAGAAATGAAAAGGAAGATCTGGGTATGATCCTGGCAGTGCAAAGAGAACATCCCATGATTCACAAGGGTGAGAACATCCCAGGAGAATGTCCAAAGTAGTCCTCAACAAAGATGGGAATCGCGACCGAGGTTCCAGGTACACGACCCACGCCAGGAGATCTGGAAAACGCTAAGGGGTGCCAATTGGTGGTCACGGGTATCTATTAACCACCCCATGTCAGCTCAGTAGTGTCAGCTCAGTTGCTTCTTCCCCTTCCCGCCTGTTCTCCGCTCCAAGGAACCACATCCCACTCTTGCTGGGTGTCGTACTCGTCGAAGGCTTCCTGTGCCGCGGGGGAGACCTGCTTGAGCCGCGCGGCAAAGCTGCCCTTGAGCTGCGAGATCACCTCCGCGGGGCCACAGGCCATCAGCTTTCCTCTCGGGGTCAGCGGTGGGGTCGTTGGAGATGAGCGGAGGAGCGGAGCTATGAGTCAAGGAGCTGGGGGAAGAACTATGAAGAACTGACGAGTCAGTTCCAGTTGAAAGTGAAGAAGGCAAAAGGCAGAAGTTTGGGGTGGGGTAGTTGTTAAATAAGGGTTGGGATTCAAAAGGTGCATGTTGCATGAAGTGTTGAGGCATGTGATCTGCCCCTCATCTGAGGTGATGTCTTCTTGATCTGGATTCTGCTCTCAAACCTGCAAAAATAACAAAAGCCGGGCTGACCATTGGAAATTGGGTGCCCCTGTCGGGTTGCGTAGGTTACGCCGATCTGTGCCTCACCTCCACGGCTGGATGGGAGCTGTTACCTTCCATCCACTCCATGGGATGGACACTTAGAGTCACAAGACGGGGTGGTGTTTAGTCCCTAGAGTGGATGTGACAGGGGCACCCCGACAACCCAACTCCTACCTCCATGGATCGCACCAAGAACAAAAACGTGACTGCTGGTATATGATGCCTACCTTGACGCCTGAAAATCAACCAACCCAACTGATCGAGATCAATCTTCCGGTCCCATGGGTCTTCCAGTTGGGTGGAAGTGATTCACGTCGCGAGCGCAGAACCAAGAGAGGTAGCCAGTGACCTGAACTAGGACCCTAGTGGGGTACCTATATGGATAGGGTCCTAGTTCAGAACTAGGGGTAGAAACGACCCTACTATAGGGATAAGTTTACCGAACTGGGGGTACCGAACTAGGCCCAGAAAGCCTCCGAAAGCCTCTGATGTTCAGCCTCTGATCCACTCTCCTGGGATGTTCTGATCCTTCACCGCCATCAGCAACGTCTGCTTCTCATAGAGCTCTGCCGTGTCCTTTTCGCGGTGACGGAGCGGTAACGGAGTGGTCAGGTCGGAGCTGCGGTGACGGTACGACCCAGGCTTCGGGTGGACATAGAGCGCTGGCAGGACGTCATTTTGCAGTCAAGAACATGTAATAACATGTAAGAACCTATAGAGCGTAATTAAGTTACATCATATATTTGTGTCAATAGTATTCAAGGTCCCATTCTGAATATTCAGTCATCTCCTGGTGCTGGTGTTTCGCCCGTTTCGGCTGCTCCGCACGAAGAACTCCGGCCCGGCCGCCTTCTTGAACACGATCATCGGCCAATCGACGGAGGCCTGTGTTTCACAACGAATCCGCATGGGTCGCGGGGGCCGATCGGAACCAAAGAGATCCAAAGAGATCCAGTACCCAGGCACGACTAACCACCCCAATGTAGGTAAGTATACCATACATGGAGTGTCTGGGGTATTCTTGGACAATGAACATAGTGAAGATATGTGAAGATCAAGTCACTGCAAGTCTTTCACGATGCAACACTTTAATGACTGACCCGGAAAGAAACTCCACAGTATACATGTTTGAATCTCGCACAGTTCCTTTTCGCAGCAGCGAATCAGCTCAAGGGCCCTGTTCAGCCGAAACAGCAGCGACGGTGCATCAACTGTACGCAATACACCCTGGCTACAACAGCTGAAATTCACACCCGTCTTATCTACAGGTGTGTTGCGGGCTTTACAGTTCAAGTTGTACAAAGGCAGCCAAGCAACTCTATTCCCCGTGGGGCCGTAAACCATGCCATTCCATGTCGAATTCTCAAAACAAGTCAGGTGAGACTTCTTCATCTTTCTTCTTGGCTCCCTTCTCGCATGCGCCACTGTTCTCGACATTCACAAGGCCACTTTCCAGTGTCTTGAGGAGGTAGTCCGGCTTCATGCTCTTGGTTAGCGGGTCTGCCAATTGCTTCGATGTCTCAATCCACCTCAGGTGGTCACCATAGGGACTGTAGATCTCCGATGTTTTCTCGCCACTCACAGTCCACACTCCTTGCCTCAATGCGGCAAGTTCTATGCCAAGCCTCTTGTCCTGTACCTTTCTTGGAACTTCTGCCAGTAAATGGTCCGATAAGCTCCTGCAATCCGTGTAGTACACGTGTGCCATTCGCCTCTGGGTTTCTTCATGCCAGTTCTTGAAGTCATCAAGATGTCCGGTCAACTCACAAATCAGGCATCGTAGGCGGTCTCCATGTTCGACTGCAGTTTGCAGAGCATATGCTTCTGCTTGCAATGTAGCACGACACACCCTTTTGAGGGTAGTTGAACCAAAGCTGATCAGATGCATTCTGTGACTGCCTTCCTTGAGGCTGCTCGCATTCGTTATGTAGTGAATGCGGCCTTGCTGACTCTTAAAGCCTTCTTTGTTTGCGAAACTTGCGTCGCTAAATGTCACGACTGCCAGATCGCTCCAGTCAATCCAATCACTCTTGAAGGTGATCTGCAAGTCACTTCCTTGAAGTGCCAATTCAACAACCTTGTTGGCATTCTTCAAGTCTTGCACTGTTGCCTTTGCGCTACATGCACGCTGCATCTCATTCACACGGTAACAAAGGTCTGGTCTTCCATAACGGGCAACCCAAGCCAAACTACCAACAACGCTCCTGAGGCTTGTCAACTCCTTCTCTGTCACCTTTTCCGACAGCTTCCGGTGCTTGTCGATTTCGATCGGCTTCACTGTTCTACAGTTTTCACTTGTAGAAATGCTTACGGAGTAGTCCTCATGCTGTACGAACTGACGTCCGCAGTATCGGAACCTTCCCGATTCTGTTTTGCCAATCGTGAACCTTTTGAGGATACCTTCAATTGTCTTCTTGCCTTCGTCAAGGTAGCAATACAACAAGTCGTCGACATGTGTGGCGACCATGCCTATCAACTTTCCCTTGGAATTGTGCAAATAGTACAATGCAGGTGTAATGCGACTGCACTTCAATCCGGCACTGGTGATCTCACCATTCATCCTCAAGTAAAAACCTCTGCCAGCATCGATCGTGCCATAGATCGGAAGGCGTGCAACTAACATTGCATCCGGTGGAACATCCGGGCTTGGAATTCCTCCACGTGGCTGTTTGAGCAACAGCAACCTCGTCATAGGCTGACTTTGAAAATACGCTGAGGAAACATCTGCCGCATATAGGGTCACACGATGGCTTGATGCGAAGCTTGCAATCAACATGTGTCCTTCAGTCTCAGCAGTGGGGCTATCGCAACGAATACCCTGTGAATCACGGCTCACTTGTTCGTGATTTCCACAAGCTACTAACCGAGATCTGTTTTCTGGCCGATGTTCAGGCGTACCTGTCAGATGAGCTTGCTTATCCACATCTACCCATTGCATAGGAATAGGAACATGCCCTTCTTGAAGTAACTCTTCCAATTCCTTGCCTCGAATAGGCATTGCAGCATTGAAGCTCCTATATTTGCTCCACTCTGCACGACGTGCATCCAAGATGCGGGCTTGCATCTCGGGAGTGCATCGGTCGTATTGCAGCGTCTTTGCCACCTTGCCAACCTGCGTCTCACTGTTTTCTCCAAAGCGTTGAGCCACAGAGGCTCGAAACTCTGCAGCATCGAGTTCAGTGTCGTCAGCAGCGGCCATGGCGATCAACGGGTGTTTTACCCGTGTAAAGATTGTGAAACCTGTCCATGCGCGAGAATCAACATCATCCATGCCCGGCATGGACTCGCTGGTCATTCGACTTCCGTCTTCATAGACTTTTCTGGTTACGCGTCTTCCTCCGAATCCTTCCGGAACATCTCCGTCATGCAGCGGATGAAAGTCATGGAATCTCCTCTTGTTGTGAACACGAATTGCATGGTTCTCAGAGATTCTCCAATGATCTTCATTGTCAACCAATGCAAGCATGACCTCATCATCACCACCAATGCCTCCGGGGGTCATCGGAACTGCGACTGCGCTTCCACTCGCGCTTGCAGATGATCGGGCAGCCTTGCCCGTCTTATCTTCTGCTTGTGCTTCTCTCTTCTGTCCCTTCTTAGGGCTCGCTTCTTCGTCCATCATTCGGATGTACTTCTGCTGTCCCAATGTCACTGCCTCCGGGAATACTGGGATGTTGTTCAAAATAGAGTAGGCCAAAGATTCACTCTCATTGGCTGATCTGAGTTTTCCGGCGGCACACAAAATAGGAATACCTTCATGTAGCAACCAGATGCCATTGTGCGGGTCGATGCCAATCACACGCGAAGCAGTGGACCACACGGTTCCACCTTGCTGGGTGTCTCGACGGTAGACCACAAGGTCTCCAACCACAAATGACTTCTTGTTCTGGACTGCAGCATTCCTGGTCAGTGCTCTTGCAACACGGGAGCTTGTATCCAAATGGATGAATGCCTTTTGTGCAGCCATACGGGATGCGTGACACAAATGATAGCTTGCTGCAGGGTCAAGCTTGTTCTCCAAGATGCCCAAGTTTCCTGCCTCATCCATGTCTGTCACAGATCCTGGAACTCTTGGGTTCCTACCCAGGACCCATTGTGCTGGAGAATAGCCTTGGACTCTTTGCATATGGTTTTTCACGGAAGTGCACTCGTGCAAACATGTTTCAAACGCATTGCGACCAACGGCTTCCATGTCGTGGATAGTCTTCCTGAGAATTGCCTTCAGGATACCTTGGTGCCTTTCAACCTTGCCAATGGCTGATGGGGTTTCCAATGGTGCATAGAAGATCTCAACACCGTGCGAAGCGAACAGCTTGGATACCTCACCTCGGTTGTGGACACCTCTATCCATGATTGCGGCCTTTGGAAAACCTGCCCAACTGATCCATCTGCGAAGGATAGCTTGTGCACAGGCTTCTGACGTTGGCATACCTCCACCTTCTTTGACAACCTCTGACAAATGGAATCCTGTCGAAATGTCCAGCATCGTGAGAATGCTGTACTTGTTCCCTGCATAGTCCTTCATTTCTGTGACGTCAAGACCTAGCATGGCATTGAACTCATACTGGAAATTACTATTTCCTACCGGATGGTCACGGGGACGTGGTGCAGTGTCTTCGCAGGACTGACAACGGACGAGACGTGCAGCTTCGATTAACTCCTTGCTTGCCTTACCTGCCTTTAAGATATTCTTCAAAGTTGACGGTGCGGGATGTCCGAACTGTCGATGCAAGCGACGAATTGCAATGCGAGTCCTCTGGGGGAGAGCACGCCACAGTCGTCTCCGTTTCTGTTCCGTCATGTCGGCTCCGGGCAATGCAAGTTGATCTAGCATGAGTTCTTCTTGTTCTCTTGCCGTCAACGGTTTTCCATCATCATGTTTGGTTTCCTGAAACACTCCCTCAATGTCACTGTCCTCGATTTCAGAAATGTCTTCGAGTTCGTCTGCGACAAAACATGTCCGTGCAAAATGCTCCAAATAAGTTTCTTCTGACATGGTGTTCAACATCTCTAGGAGTCTTGTCGATTTCGCGTCTTCGAAACATTTTGGGGTCATGTTCTCTCCGCACCAACCTTCCAGCGCCTCCAAGAGCTTGGGGCTTTGTGGACCTGCCAAGGCAAACTCTAGGTCACCACCAAGGCAAATGGAGTGTTCGACAGATATCTCGAGAAGTGGTGTGAAAAGAAGAAGGTTGCAACCATACATGTCGACTTCCATGAGCATATCATTCCAAATCCTCCTGGGGTCCGTGTTCTCCAAAAACAGTACAACCAAACCAGGGATCTTATTTGAAATGTGCTTGATGACCTCCTTGCGGGTCTTCACCCAGTTTGCTCCTACATCGAATATCTTTGCACTCTGGGGTGCATTGATCAACATGTCATCCTTGACAATGACCATGTGTTGCACACTCAACGGGTTGTTCGAAACTAGGGCATGCAGGACTGAGTCATTCTCTTGCAAAGTCTGCAGGCCGGCGACAAACACTTGTTTTTCTCCTTTGTTCATAGTCCGGTGATCCAGAGCTACGAATGCGTGACCATCGCTGTCGGAGCTCAGCTCGATCTCCCCTTGGAAGCGGCTCATGATGAACTTGTCTCGGTCGAGCACCTCACGCGAGCTGGTCGGACGATCCGGAGTGCTTTGTGTACTCATGGTGACTACGTCATCGTCTGACAATTCCTCCTTGGGTGCGTTCGACGGATCGATAGCGGTGCAGCCATGGAACGGTTCAACAGGTTCAGCATCAAGTGCATCGTCCATCTTCTCCTCCTTGGGAGTCTCTTCTGCCGTCTCCACTGGTTTTGCCATCTCTGTGATCTCTGTCTTCGTGCGTTTCGAAGGTCCTCCGCTCGGCCCGTCTCCATTTTCGTCATCATCACCA